AGGGTCTATCTCCATTATATCTCCGGTGTTTGGGAATTTGAAACAATGTTTGTACATCATCAGCAGGGTTTTACTCAAAAGCACACCATTTGAGATTTTTGGTATATTTCTCATCATCCTCCCTCCAAAGATAATTTTTCTTTATTTAACAAGAGTTAAGTATCAAAACATATTCAATGCATTATGATTAATGTTCGAAAATAATCAAGTTTTGCATACAAGTATTGAACCAAACAAGAAAGATTACAAATGAGAATGCAAATGTAATTTGAAATTGCCATGTTGAGGAGACTAGTATCCGTATAGACTTGTTGCTTCAGAAGATGCGCTTTGTAATATTGACACCACTGAGTCAAAGGAGACTTCAAATCTGACCAGCTGGTGTGAAATTGATGACTTTAGCATCAAGCAAGTCTTGCACTTCATCTTTGAATGGTTTACAACCTTTAGTTGAATGGCCAGGTGCCCTAGCATGGAAATATCACATCAAATTCACTCAATAAATGTGATGATTGCTTTATCAAGTGAACTTGCATAAAATTCATTACAAAGTATCTGCTACCACAGAGAAGAAATGCCAACCATCTTCTACTACACAGAAGAGAAAATCAGTCGCTGAATTTCGGAGCATCTCCTACTACACAAAAGAAGCACCGTCTTCTACTACACAGAAGCAAAAATCCAGAAACTATAACAAGATCTTCTACTACACAAGAGAACATAAACTATGACTGTAGAACTCGACCTATGTGGTATTTTCCTTCTACAAAGCAGTAGATGTCCAAGATATCGATATCTTATACTTCTTCATCATAGAAGCATCACCTCATCTTCTACTACACAGAAGAAACACTCAACTGAGGAGAAAGAGTCTGAAACGGTTTTCCAAACAAGGACCAGACTTGGGATAAGAATCCATACAAGTGTCGGACTTTATATTTCAACCCCTTGCAGTCTTCAATATCATAACCAGGTGCCCCAGAATGGGAGACACATCTAGCATTTGCACCTAAATCAGGAGAGAAATTTGTGGGAGGATGACCCAAAGCATAAAGCTTAACCAACTGAGCTTCCAACACACGAGGAAGTAACTGGATGCAAGGTATATATATTGTATCAACATGCTTCTCGGGTTTCTTCTGCCTTTGCTGATAAGCTTTTCCCCACGGGTTCATTCGGAGACCAGAAACTAGCAGCTAGCAAGAAAATCTGGGAACACAAAGTTTTGGATGAGACCCACAAAGTATCTTATGATTTGAAAAAGGTCCAATATAATGGGGATGAATGACAGATTTTGTTGCAACAGTGTATACAAGACCATTTTCCTTTGCAGACACTGTCTTTAGAACTTACATACCCGACTCGACTGAGTCTATAACTGGTTATTTTCCTCCTTAAGGATTTCCAACTACGGGCCATTGCTTACAAGTCCCCAATAAATAGCTCCATTGGATCCTTCAAATCATCCAATTCCCCACGAAGTTATTCCATGGCGTTTTTGGATCACTGAACTGTGAGAAGTTAAGATTCACAGTTTTGAAAAGAATACCGGGCCTGAATAAGAATTCACCTTGAATACGTGTTATGGATGCATGAAGATTCATGAGGTGAATGAGTCGATTAAATGCCATGTTAAATCATTTTCAAGGAACCCGCATGCTTTTAGTTTCGATTTGGATCCAGTAAGAGATGGACAAGCACAATATAATGTTCACAAGCACGATTCCTTGGAAATAGAAAGAACATGTGTGATAACTTCTTTTACACATACATTTTTTACACATTTTTTTGTTGTTGTGAAAACATATATGCTATGATGCAGGCGCAATACCATAGGTTCAAAAGTTAAGCATAGCAATTGTACAATCCTCTGGATAACTGCTGAATCAATCAGCTGAATAAGTCTAATATACCAGGATCAAAGGTCTGGAACATAACCAAAAAACCATAGTCACCAATAGAACAAAGTCACTAACAGTACCTATAAGAATCAATCATTCCACCTCACTCATGGGTGAAACTAGGTCAGGGTAAGGTAAGGGTAACTCAGATTCATGGGTACGCCTGAAGCCACTATCGTCGAAACACCTACGTGAAACGATAGTACCTCATTTGTAATCTCATCTGAGCATGGACGACACGACCGTACTAGAAAACCAAAGTCGACTAGTCGTTCATGTTCCACTCTATTCCTAGGGTTCCTGTGGTCATCACTTGGTCGGGGTATTAGGCCTTTTACCTCTTGTAACACCCACCCACAGAGAGACAAAGAAAGAGCAGTACCACCAGCATATGGAAAGCGATAAAATGCATGCACAAACATATGCAAGCAGTGTATATATAGCTGTAAATAACTGAAAGGAAACTAAGCACCCAAAGCAGTAAACAAGAAAGAGCTAGGGTCGACTCTGGGATGGACCGGTAATAGGTTAATCTGTCCCTAATGAAGTTGCCAGCTGAAACAATCGGCTGAACAAATCATCGAGATTAAATCAATAAAGTCACCATTGATTTTTTTTATCCCACCAAAAGGGGAAGGTAAACATCGAGTAAACCTGAGAAAGGTGAAATCAAGGTCAAACGACCGAGAGATTAAGTAAGAGATTCGGTTACACGAGGGGAATGTATTAGCACCCCTCACGTCTGTAGTACTCTACGGTATCCACTCTTGTTGTTTATCTAATGGTTGTGTTTCAAATCTAAGCTTACAAGCTAAAAGAAAATGCAAAGATGGAATGCATGCAAAAGAAAAGAGAAAATAATGTAGCGAAAATATAGTTGTGCTCTCTTGGGCCCTACCCCAATGCCTATGTATCATTTTTAAGGAATTAGAGTTATCGTAGTTCAACTCACCAGTTTTGACTTTTTTTATGTTTTTTAATGAACAATATTAATTTCTCCTTCTTCCGCAGCTCGGCCTTTAGAGACTCATGCCTCATCACAGAAGCGAATTGACATGTTCTACCTAACAAGGTATTTTCAAAGAAAAATGCCCAATGGTGGATAATTCTACATTCATGTTGCAGCAATTTAGACATAGTGCCACCCGACCTTTGGGGATTTATGCGTCGTGTTGCGTAGAGTGGAATTAACACATCCTTTTAAAGTTTGAAAGAAAGTCCAGAAGGCGGAAAAAGTTTGTATTGGTTGATGTATTTTACCTTGAAAAAGGATTTGAAAGTTGTTAGATGTTTTGTGCATTTTCCAAGAAAAGAGTTTTAGTTTTAATGCAAGGATGCAAAAGAAAGAAAAACAACTAAGGGAGACTAACTCGGGTAAAGGCCTAAGTGAGATATAACTGATTGAGGTAGGTATAAAATGCAGTAGGGGTGCTTTAGCCAAGGGGTCCTGTCAACCGAGGTAAACAAGCAAGAAAGGGGATGAAGCGGGAATTCTTAGCCAATGGGTCATATCAACCGAGAAAAACAAGCTAATCCGTTGGAACAAAATCTATACCATGGCATTGTATTGCCAGGTAAAAAGAGTAAGGGGGAGTGATAAAAACACAGAGCGTCAACATCGCATGATGTGAGCTCAAGAAAAAATATGGGGGTTTGATTGCGAAACCCTTTTCCACTTGATGACTCAATAACAAGAGTAGGCATAACTCTGAAGCATCATGGTGTGTCATGAGTTAAGGATGACACAGACTAAATGCGCAGGGGTTGATTGCTAACCCTTTCCGCTCGACTCTTTTCGAGGACTTCAATAAGGGATGGGGGAATAGATTGAGCATAAATGTAAACACATGTGCAGAATACCTACTTCAAAGGTAGGATTTTAAACAAACACAGATAATATACAGAAAGCGGTGTCTGCTGCAGGACTTTAAACAAAGACTTCGAGTGCACGCTATTTATTTCCCACTTCTCATGATTTCTAGGAAGCAGTAAAGTGCTTAAATTAGATAAACAAGAGAAAATACTAAACAAAAAAATGTCGTAGCATAAGAAGCAAATCAGAGAAACCCAAAAAACTTTGAGTGGGATTCACCAAGCAACAAAGAAGAATCAAAAATCAAATTCTTGAAATAAGCATCAAAGCATTGTCGATGTGAAAATAAATCACAATCGCAAACTCGAGCATATCTGCATATTGCTCAACAAACCTGCATAAGAATAAGATCTCAACGAGCAAAGGTGAGTCACAAACTCCTGGCAACAAAATGATTACCGAATATAAGCCATAATAAAAAATCTAACCTTGAATTCTAAAAAGAAATCATAGAAAAAAATTCTATTATATTCTACTATTTTTGTTATATTTTTTTTTGTCTTTTTATTATTTCTATCACTATTTTTTCATTATACCAATTTTCTTATTTAACAAAAATTGTTATCTAACAATTATGAAAAGAAAATTACTAGAAACAAACTAAAACCAATTACAAGTAGAGGGGAGTGTGCAGTTTGAATCAGTGGTGTAGTACAGTGCAGTGCAGGCCCAAATGCCTAAGTCCATAGGAGTTTTTGTGTATAAGTAATCCAAATCCAAAAAAAACAAACAAGACACAGGCCCCAAGTGGGAGCAATTCGACCCATCCAACACAGTCCATCATTATTTTTTAATGACTAAGTATTTTCGAACAAAAATAGAGCGGTGTGTATAGAGAGAGGAATTAGGGTTAAATTGTGTTTTGAGTCCCTTCAGTTCACAACCAAAATACGGACTCCCTCATTCTCTCAAGATTCTTCAAGTTAGAGATGATGATAAGAAACCTCGAGAATCTCAAAGTTGCGATATTTAGGCAAATTAATCTGCGGTCTCCTACGTAACACTCTCCAATTTGCTTTTCTTCTTCTGGGTTTTATCAGTTTTGCATCGATGTTGTTGTGCGCGTCGTGTTATTGATTGTGATGTAGAAAGGTGCTTGATGAGCGATGAAGGATTAATCAGTGCAAGAAGGTTGCAGATGATTGAATGCAGATGAGCGTGGCATGGATGTTGTTGCAGATGCGTCGAGGATGAAAATTCGGTGACCAAGGTTCTAGAGAAAGATGATGAGGATGGTTGAAGGTTGTTATTGTCGTGTTCTTGCAGAGAAAGATGAAGATTGGCAGTTTGTTGATTCGTTGAAGAAGAGATACGAAGCTTATGCAGAGAGAAACCTTGAATCAAGATTGAAGAATGAAGCAGATATAGAGGGAGCGCGATTTTTGGTGATTCTCCGATTAGTTGAAGAATGGTGAAGATGAAGCTACGTGAAAATTTCACTGCAGTGAGAGGGAAGATTGAAGTTTTTTTGTATGGATTTTGATGATTCTTATGCAGAAAAATTGAATAATAAAGATGAAGATGAGAGGAGAAGAAAGAGTTTGTGATTCTTCTGCTAATGAAGAATGAAGATGAGAGGAGCGAAGAGAAGGTTGAATATTCTTCATAGAATTTGAAGAATCAAGAACTTTAAGGTAAGATTCTGTTTTTATAGTTTCTATTAGAATCTGAAAGTTTTTTTAGACAGATCAGTTAGAGCTGAAGAAGTTAGTTATAGTGAAATCGCATCTTAGCCCTTGGTTTGAATTTCTGTTAGAGATTTGGATGGATGAGATTCAATATGAAATTCTGTTATGATTTTTTGCTAAACTGTCATTTTGTTAGTGAACTTTCTTATGATTTTTCCGTTGTATTTCTTCTCATATTTTCCTGATGAGGTTTCCACGGTCTTCACCTGATTTCATTCTTTTAATATGCCCCTATTTTTTGTATTTTGCTGATTTTATATTAATGGAAATGATGAGCTGGCTGGAAATGGTTTAGTATTTGATGCAGGGTCGCGATTTTAGGCTTATTTCTTGACTGTGATAACTCATTTTCTCTACTGCAATATGCAGGTTCTCATGGATGATGTGGTATCAATTTTGGATATTGTTTTTTTTTTGGACATTTTAATGCAAGTTTGACAAGAAGAATGATGAATATAGATGGGCCTAATGGTAGGCATGAAGATGACAGGGCATTCATTCTTGGAGCAAGATTAAGTTTAGGTTTCCATATACTTGTATAATTCTTCTTGATGATGTAATGTAGAGGATATGAGTTTTTGTAATGGTATTTTTGACTTAAAATGAACTTGATGGAATTTTTGGTTGGTGAGACCTTCGTATTACTTGAACGAACTATGATGTAAATTTGAATGAACATGAAAATGATAATGTGATGCTTCTTGCAATTAATGTTATGATTACACACTTGAAACCATATTGATTACGTCATGAATTAAACACCATGTCCCATGTTTTCCATGTCAAGATCTTACCCATGTAATTTAATATCCATCCATGTATCCATCTCAATTCTTCGTGAAGACTTGAATCAAAACCATCCTTGTATGTCATGTTTGAAGAAACCCTGCTTTGAATGCCTTGAACCTTGAATGATGATGAACCTTGAATCACTTTGCGTGTTCTTCAATGAGAAGCCTACTTCGATCCAAATCCACTCGTATTGTAAACAACAAATAACGATGATGAGACAAAAATTGCCTTGATCAAGAATAAACCCACAAATTCATATCTTGTGCCATGAATCATGCTTCACAATTCAATCCTCAATCCTTAATGACCAGTTATCTCAATCCAAAATTAACGTCATGAGGAAAGTCTTAAAGATGGATGATAAGGTTTGAAACATGGAAGAATACCCTTGATATGAAATCCTAGTGCACCAGTGAAAACCCCACTCTTTAACCTTGGAGAGGAAAACCTGGCAATTTGATGTTGGGGAGTAGAAAATAGCCTTATAGCTTGAAGAATATCTGGAGCAATCAACCTTTATTGAACATATAAACCTCAGTCACTGAAAACCCTAACTTGCACAATCAACTGATCTTTTAAACCTCAGGGTATTTATTGAATACGAATATATGCTATGTAAATGATCTAATGAAAAGATGTGAATGCAATACTAAGCCTAGCTAGATAAAAGAAATTAGGAGGGAAAATTTTGGGGTGCAACAGAGAGCAAGAAGAAATATGGGCTAACTTTCTCTCAAATTATTTCTTACCAACATTATTGACATCGACATTGAAATATCCCTGATCATCCTCAATAGTTTCTACTATACGATCTTCTCTCCAAATCACCAAACGCTGATGCATGGAAGATGGCACAACTCCCACACCATGTAGCCATTCTCTTCATACTAAAAGATTATAACTTTTCTTGGCATTAATAACCATGAATATGGTCGGCCTTGTTATTGTTTTGACAGTAATATCCACTTGAATCACTCCCATGGTGCTTCATGTCTTGCCCCTATTATCTGACAAGACTACATTATGAGACCGTATGTCGGTATCATATTTGCCAATTTTCTTCAATATGTGGTATGGCATTACGTTCACAGTAGCGCCATAATGTATCAAAACTTTATTGATAGCTATCCCCTCTACTTTTGCTCTAATTAAGAGAGGCTTCAAATGGCTCTTCATGGCCACACTTGACTTTTTGAAAAAGGCATCTTGGTTCTCTACAGAACCATTATTCATAACAAAATAGCATGTTGGCTTATATAAAGCCATTTCTTCAACATCCGCATATGTCGAATCATCAACTTCAGTGGGGCAATCATACTCAGCTGGTAAAATTGACACCACATTCACCAAAATATTCAAACTCTCCTCTAAATCTAATTTGAAATGATCAGTAGCCTCTTTAGAACTTTTGGTGATTGGTCGACGAGTAAATTCTTTTATACGCTCTTTTGCAGTTGTGTCGACTTTCACCACATATTTCTTTTCGAATTCCTCTTTGCTTCCAGTAGTTCTCTCAGCATTTCCTTTGGCAGCCTGCCTCCCAGCCATCTTACAACGTTGAAAGCACCTCCATTGGGTCCTTTTCATAGGGTTTTTATCAATATAATTCTCAGAAACATGACTTTTCTTATAAGACTTGAACTCTCGTCGGTAGTTTATGGTTGACTTTCCCTTGTCTATGACAGTGGCAACACCCTTTAGTGTCTCCATCTTTCCATGAGGCTTTATCTAGGTGCCTTTAGGAACATTGGCTGACGCAACGAAACTCTTTGGCCTGGAATGAAAATTTCCCATAGCCTTTCTTGGAGCTCCTTCTTTGTGTGGGTGGAACTTCTGATTAAAGAACCTTCCTTTGACTTTCTTCGACTGTAATCTCTAAAAAATTTCAGCAGCAATGTTGTCAGTTAGAGCGCTATATCTAGGAAAAACAAGCTTGTGAGCCCTTGTTCTTGCACCGATACAAGAAGTCTAGCAAATCCTCTTCAGACTTAGGGTAGACGTCATCCAAGTCCACATCCAGACTTTCATCAGTTCCCTCTACCATATCTACATAAGCAAACACAGTAATTTCCATGATGTTTATCTCGATTGGGTCAACAAACAATTCTTCTTCTTGCTGAAGAGGGTCGACATCAATTTTCATCTTTCTACTGGAAAATTTCATCCTTCCTTCCTGAAGTGATTTTTGCACAAGATCCCTGAAAAGAAAATATTGTGAGATTGTGTGGCCAAGATAATAATGATATTTATAAAAACCTCTTTTCTGTCGTTGTTCTAACGGTGGTAATTTAGCACCTGGAGGCACTAAAATCTGACCATCTTTAACCATCAAATCAAAACTTTCTTCACACTTAGTGACATTAAAAGTATAAGTCTTTGCTGGAAATTTTGGATTGTTTTCAACAGGGTTTTTTCCTTTGGAAGGAAATAATAATTTACATTCATATGAAGGCCCTGGCTTCATCTCAGCCATGTCGACCTCTACCTCTGTAAGTGAGATATAATTAGGGTCATAAATAGGATTTGTGTCATCAAAATTTACAAAGGCTACTTTTTCTTTTTTGGCCTTTGTATATCTGACTTTCTCTAGTCTCAGACGCTCAAGCTGTTGAGCTCTACCAGCTAGTTGCGACATACTTTTCACATAGGATGGATCTATTTTCTTCCTAATGGAGTAATCCAAACCTCCTGCAGCCATTTGAACAAGTTCATGTCCAAACACCTCAGTGAAGCACCTTTCTTTCAACAAACGAAACCTATTTAAGTAATCATCAATACTCTCTGCAAACCTTCCTTTTATATTTGATAATTCTACCAAACTAGTTTTCGAATGTCCCTCATAAAATTGTTCATGAAAAAGTTTTTCCAACTTAGTCCATGAATCAATTGTATTTGGGGGAAGGGTAGTAAACCATGTGAAGGCTTCATTAGTAAGGGATGAAGGAAAAATTTTTACCCTCAGGTTTTCATTATTCACCATATTCCCTGACTCAGTTAAATATCTAGCAATGTGTTCTACTATCGACTCACCAGATTCACCCCCAAAACTATATATCTAGGGATTTTCCATCCCATAGGTAATTCAGTCAACAAGATGTATTCAAACAAAGGGGAAGAATACGCTGGCCTCTGTAGTATGGTATTCATACCATTCCTGGCCATGATTCTTTCGACAATGGTGGTTAAGTTATTTTATACTGCTAAATCTTCTTGTCGATATTGATCAACAATCTGATCAGCATCTTGTTGTCGGTTAACTAATACCACTGGAGGGTGTTCCATCACCCTTGGTGGGTCGACCATAAGATTTTGCTGTACTTGGGGCCTTATTACTTTCCCCTGGTAAAAAAATTCATCATCTATTGCCCCCAATTCTGTTTGAATGGGGATGATTGGTTGAACAACAGGTGGCGCCTGTTGAACAGGCGCTAGAGGAGCACCCAGAAAATTACACAAGCGTGTTAATTGAGCAATTACCTGCCTATTTGTCTCAGCAGACTGTTTATTCGTCTCAGTAGATTCATGCACTATAGGGTTAAACACAGTACCCATTTGATTGGTTAACATGTTAACTAAGTCATGGTTATTATCATCCATTTGCTGCCTTAAAACCGTTGTTGAAGTGTTGGTTAGAGGCTGCACTGGCTGAGGAGGCACCACTCTACTTTGGTTATTTCTATTTAGAGAATTTCCTCCTCGTGCAAACCCTTGTAATAGGGAATTTGCATTCTGAGCATTATCTGAAAATAATGCTAGGCTTGATGTCGATTGATAATAGCTGGAATTAAAGAATACAACATTCCATAAATAGGATCAACAGTACTAAAACGAGGAACGTTAGGCCTTACGTTTGTAGTTACCACAAGCATTGGACTCTCCGGTGGAGCCTAGGGGATAGTGACTACGCCTGCAGTTGAAAATAGCATAGTTGTATTTGCCAACGGAAGAAAAAGTCCAACTTGAGAAACTATTGTATCCATGGTAGTTATTGTTCATGGCGATACTACATTCGCATTAGTGTTGACAGGATTAGTCATCCTTGGTGTACGTTTCTTAACTTGTGGCTTAATATACTCTTTGGTTAAATTTCCACTTCTAAATCTCATACACTTACAAACACTAAAGAGTTTTTAGATAAATTCCACTAGCACTGGTACCACCAGGTGTGCCAATTTGTTTACTGTGGAAAATGATAAACAACCACTAGTCCTCCCAAAGCCTAAAACTAAGGGTTACTGGCATGATCGACTAGTTAATCCTAAGACATATGCTAATATAATGAAATGGGGCTTGTTCTGTCGATGCAATGCATTACTTTGTGAGAAGCAATTTTCTCTAAATAAGGGAACAAGTAAAAGTTCTCCACAAATATGCTATGAATTGACTGACTAAAGGTGACCCGTGACTCACAGAAGACTAGGACTTGTCCTAAATGAAGTAAATGTTGAGTGAACTCTCAGTAAATTCCAGTATCGTAATGGAATGAGAATCAATAACGTAAATGACAATATAAAAAGATTGTTCAAAAGTAAATAATATGCAAGCAAGATATTTAAAGGGCACAACTGAAAAGAAAGGAGTCAGCGTTGAAATAAATGTGGTGATTCACGTACATTAACACTCTTGAACTCTTGCTTCCTTACGCT